GGTATATGTAGCTGTTATAGTCTAGAGCTGATAAGATTTGGAATTAACTCGAGACCCGGATGGCGCTTAAATCATTTTGAATTCCAAACAAAACATTATCATATTATTATTATTATATTTTGTACGACGTAGCTATTAATTTACATTACAGCAGCATAAGGTCGGATTTAGCTGAGACCGAGTTTGTTGTATTTCCTCAAACCGAATTTCTCAATCGGTTTAAACAAAACGTTTAATTTGGCTTGGACGTGCGGGTGGTTGGCCGGAAGCCGGATGTTCCCCGTACTTAACACATATACCTACCTAAGCATAATAATAGTATATATACGCATAGGTACACACACATAAGCGTGGGGAGAATCGATGGTGTGTATTTCCTTGGCAACCGGCAGGCAGGTACAATCAAAACACAATAATATTATTCTAAGCAAATCCGTCCCTCTCTCCCCTCGCGTAGATAATGTTAATAACGATAATTGGAAATCGTCAAACTTGGCTGGCATTAGCGGTGTAATGGCACGGTTAAATACATATTAATATTAATAATAATAATAATACACGCTGGACCCTATTGTCACGTGTCGATGAGCATTTTATGTGCACGGGTATAATGCACGTCCAATTATCGCGGTCATGTACGTTCATCATCGCCTCAAAGTGTGTCGGATGATGATAATAGTAATATAATACGATTTAACGGATTTAGAAATAATGATAACGATAGTAACAACACTAACATGATGGATTGTGTTAAGAGAATAAGGTGAAAAAAAAATTGCCCACCTATGTACGTGATTTCGTTCAATAATATGTAAGTATAATTGTAACTAAAATCTATAATCATAGTACCTATCTATTATGATCTATAATCATTTTTAACGTGGTCTCGTTGCGATTTCCCCTACCCAACGGGCAAGGACTGGCATAAGCTTTTTGGCGTTTCAATTATTCAAGTCAATGACAAAGTCTACAAACGTATACAATACATACCACTCACGAGAATCCTTTCAAAAGTATATTAATACTATCGACGTCATCGGGGCCAAGGCAGAATATAACTATATATATTTTATATTCCAACCGATGTGTCGGAACTGTTTATGGAGAACAGTTTTGCATAAACGTCAATAACAATAACAATAGTAATTATTACTTTGAAAAAAAAAAGACATTATGCAATAGATACCTTATAAAGCTTCCACTTTGACGGACGCCAAAACTTTGGGCTTCTGTTTTCGTAAAGAACAAAGTAACCGATAAACAAAGGTGTTTATTGTCTTCATTAACCACAAAACATAACAATTATTATGCAACGGAAAAAATTTAAACTTACAAATTTGTATTTGACGATGGTCGATGAAGTAGGTTTAATAGAATAAAGTAGTATATAATTTCGAATTTTTGTTTACCGCTATTTTTAATGAGCAATAACTGAATCAATTATCAAAGTGAATGTAGATGTCGGAAAAGGAAATAATTTATAACGAAGTTAACGTCAAGTGTGATTGAATAATTATTTTTTTATACTTTAGGTAATTTATAATTTTTAGTTTTTTAACTGTATTTATTATTAATGTTGTAATACTCGGTGATATTAGGCAAAAATCAAATGTTGATTTGAATATTTTATAAACTTTTTTTAATATTATCTACCTACACTTTCACTACATAACTTAGAACTACTATTATCAGCACTGTTAAGGTGATGGCAATATTTAAGAAAAAAGTGGTTTTAAAAAATTTCGACCATATCATTTGATTTTCCGGTTAATTTGTATAAGCTTCGAGGTGTTATTTTAATTTGTATAATTTGTTCTACGGGTAAGGGTAAAAGTCATTTTCGTGTATTTTAGAACCAAAAGCCTGACAAAATTACGCCTACTTAAAATGATCATATTTCAATTTCGTTAAGAGATTCGAGTTCTTTGACAAAGTTATGTAGGAACCAGATTTTTATTTTAAAAATTCAGTTTGATGTCGTTAAATAAATTTAATTTAATCATTTAAAAACGATTGTTCACATAAAAAAAAACCAAAATATGAAAAATCCGCTTCCGATGTAATTTAGTAAAGTAGCCAAAGTATACTCGTATCCCTTTACAGAATTGCAAGAAGTCGAATTTTTTTCAGGGTTTTTGGTCTAAACCGTAAAAAAAAAAAAAACGGACCGCTTTCAATCGCCTTTGGGGGAAGAACGCGGGTGCCGGCTTAAGTGTGTCGTTCGGTGTACTATACAAAACGTACTCGATACACAATTAATAATATTAGGTATATAAAAACTATTTCCGGATAAGGTCGATTACTCACCTTATGATTAATATACGCGGTGGATGCGCAAATTAATAAATAATATGGGGAATAAAACGTATCCAAACACACTCAACACTTCACACACACACACACACATTCACTACGCGTCGGGTAAACTAATTTCGAGCGGAAAAAATTGTTTTAAAACATTTTTAACAAAAAAACATGTATACAAAACAGCAAAAACCACAACACGACTATAGTGTTATAACGATAGCCCTACCGTCGACGTTCGGACACGCACTGGCATACCACAAAGATACACGTTAGCGGTACGGGAGTAAGAAAAAAAAAAAAACACTGGGTGTAACAGTAACTCTATAGGTAGACGCTGAACCTATGCCGGACCTGTTAATGGTGTTACCTGGCGGGGCTCGTACCTGTTGTACACGATCGTGATATTATATTATTATACACTCGAGGTCGCTAACCGACCGGCGACGACGGCGGACGACCACAGACGAGTGCACCACTATACCTACGTGTGTAACGTGGAAAAAAAAAATAACAATAATAATAATATATTATAAAAAAAATGAGTTGAAGAAAACCACGTAAAAAAAACCTATCGCTATTGTATAATATTATAATAGACCCACGGCCGACGGTTGCCGTTCGATCATATTTTTACATAATAATATCATAATACCTGCCAAATAATACCGTAAAAATATATCATCAAACGCGTAATGTTTGTATTTATTAAGAAGACGTCGTACCCCCCCCCTCCCCTCCTCTTTTTATTAGTTAGGAAGATATATGGGCAATTTTTCGCAAAATCGTATTTTAAAGGTTAAACCGCGATGTGTAATTATTGCTATACAGTTCAGTAATTTGGACTTATTTTTGGTAGCTCGTTTTTTTTTTTTGGACTATCACAGCGCCAGTGTTGGGAAAAAATTATCTAGACAAGACAACGGGCAATTTATTAAAAAATCATTGGATAAGGTATTAGATTAATAATTAAAAAATTATCTAGATGAAAAATAGATAAATTACATTCTTACCTACATAAAATATATTATAAAAAATATGCCTTTTTCACATTTACAAATTAGAAAAAATACCATAATTAAAAATAATTGCCTAGCGCTCTGTAAAAAAAAATGCCATAGAAGAAAAATGTACAGGTATTATAATATAACAACGTCAAATGGCATTTAAGTACCAGTGTTAAATAAACAAAGATGTTATCATTTATAATATTTCCCACATAACGCAACATGTATAAAAAACATAGGTATAAAAATTCTGAGAAAACACAAAATATAATATAAGCAACATAAAAAATGTATTACACCAACAATTACTATTATATATAATATATATTTCTATCTAGAAAAACTTGCTCTTACCTAGAATAAACCGTTTTCAATTTGTACATTTGTTTACACCAAAAACGACTGTGCAAAACATATTAAAAATAGTCTACCTTTTTCTAAAAAATTCACTAATTTTATAATTTATTAAAACATTTTTTTTTCACAAAACATTATTGTATATTATAGAATGTTTTTAGAACTAGAATTTACCTATCGTGTTTACTTCTTGAGGTTTAAAAATGTGTACTCTTTACGTATATTTTGTTAAGTTTCTGTTAAGTTTCGACTTAAAACGTTTTTGATAAAAAAAATGTATAATACTTGATCAGTCATCAGAGAACTTTTTGTAAGCTGAATAATATAGTACATACAAATAACATTACGAATAAAAAGTTATTATTTCAGAATTGCAATTTTCTATACTATAACTTTTGGTTCAAAAAAAAAGAACGAGGTTTTTCCTTCTAGAAATAAACGGATTGCTTTTAAAAAAGAACTTTGCCATCACTGGACTGGTATAGAAATGGCTGATTTCCCCGTTTCCCTTCCCCCTCGAGTACGCCTCCTATGCAAATTTATACAACTCCAACGCTTTTACTACTCTATCTATTCACTCTTTGACATGGGAAAACCAAACAATACAACGACTTGCTTCGTAGGAAGAAAGTATCCGTTGTACCATTAACAGACCTTATGGCGGTGTAGGTACACAAGCGAGTAATAGTATATTACTGTGATTGATTATAATAGATGATGTTTTGCAAAATGTCATTGTCATAACGCCACAGCGGCTGGAGATAGTTCAAATCTCGCCACAGTCGATCAGAAGAAGCGGGAAATACAATATACACTGTGAACTTGGCATGGGCGATAATGTCAGAGATTGTGGGGTTGTGTTGCACAATGAGAAAAGGGTCATATTGCGGATGAAGGGTCAAAGGCGAGAGACGTGCGTCGGATACTCGCGTACACGATAATATATTGTGTGCCATACTATTAATATCTTCTAGACTTTCGGGCGCTTTTTTTTTCCCATGTCTCTTCTTCTATTACACAAAAACTTTACGACTAATATTTTTTGAGTTTTAATATCATTTTTTCATTGCATAAACGCCATGGAAACTTCGCTCGTTTTTATAACATAAAGTTCCCAGTCTTGCTTAGCGCTTTCTAATCATAATATATCTGTTATCAGCTAGTTCCCTTATGAACAAACTATGTTTTATCAGTTAACACTCGTCTCCCACCACCCTTATCGCTTTCAATTCAAATCTGTTATCAGCTTATTTATCCTTATCAAAATAAATTGATATCACTGTATCCTTTATCAGCTAAAAACGCAACACTTAATTATAAAATTGCACTGACCTTTTTTTAATCGAGGTTTTAAATTCAAGCATATGGTTCGGGTGACTATACACTGAAAAACAAAATAAAAAATATACATTATTATTATGCGTGTTTAGAGTGAATCGATATCGTGGAAGATGTCTTGTTAAATATTTTAATTTTAAACGAACTTTCTCACCTGGTAGAGATATGCCAGCAAATCTTCTCGAGTCATTTCTGCTATCTGTTGGCCATTGATAGCAAAAATTTCATCGCCTGTTTCGAAGTCTGCACGGTCCACTTTTGAGCCTAAACCGGACAGCAATAGTGTTTGAATAAACGAGACGTGACCGATTTGGTAGTAATATGTCAACATACATATGATTATGCTCCTACTTTAAATAATTGGAAGAATAATTTTTAAACAACCAAACGATTCTATGACCAACAATGGAATATAGCGTTGTAATAATAGTTGTTTTTTTGGTTATTATAAAATTAATATAAGGTTAAATAAAAACCTAATATAATCCCAAAAGCGTCCAGTAAAAGCATTTAGTAGGGTCAAATGGGGCCAATGTAAACGAATGTATTTCATGGGAAAACCAACAACGTTTGCATTTTATTTATTAAATCATTTAATTAAAGTTCAAATTGTTTAGTTAATATGTTGTTTAAAATAAAATCCGTTTATATTTTCCCCATTTGTTTAGAATTGCCCTAAGACCTTATTAGTTTTTGAAGTCAGCGGTTGACTAATACTTTTTTCCAAAAATTTATTAAATTCAGATTTGTCCATAATATCTTTTTAAATAATGTCATCAGTTTGCAGTTAACTTGTATTTAATTTTTAAATAGAATATTTAAATTCGCATGGTGTTTACGTGGGAAAAATAAGTATGTTGTACAGTTCACTCGATCGATAAATAACTCTACAAAGTCATATAGTAATACTGTGATATTAAATAATTATTATTGTAGTATTGTCTACATTTGCACGCTAAGAATTGAATACTAGAAAATTACTTAAAGCGAACAAAACTTAATAATAATTAACAAGACGTGTAGCTACCAAAAAGTTTGGCTTTGTTATCTTCAGTTTCTTTTAGTATAAGTACGTATCCGCTGAGATCCATAGTGAGTATTAAATCGATAACAGTTCAAGGCATGTTAACGACCACAACCCTGATAGTAGTATATATAATATGATTTGGCTAATCCAAATTGTAGTTCTTCGTCTTCTTCGTTGTCACTCCCGCAGTCCGAATCCGAGTCCTCAGCCATATTGTTTGTTTTCGATTGGTCCTATTTGGGGCATAGCCCACCGAATAATTCCTAAAACAAAAAAATTCAATTAAGACACTATTGCGATTGGTTTTCAAATCAACTGTAGGAAGAAAAAAAAATGTAATCCTGTACAGGGTGTACCGGAATTCGAAGTCATACTCTGGGCAGTCGAGTTTAAGTAGAGACTTTCAGGAAAATAATAACAAACAAAGATTTCTCTGCTACACAGAAAAACAGAATAATTGATACGTTTTTCCCCTCCCCTACATGACTTATCCTACTGTCTTGTCCTCTCATCCGCTTATTTCCTCCGCTCCTTGACCTAATATCTAAACCTAACTGATCTCTTATCAGGAGCCTTTATCAGTTGTCCCTTTGCACTATTAGCCGTTATCAGAAGACAAAGTAAATTCAATCAGATTTAATGTAAACAATGATTTTCAGACGGAGGCCACCATCTTTTAAATAAATATTCTTGTGGCGTATTGAAACCATCTTCTTATTTCTCCTAAAATTATATCTATACATAGCTAATGTATAAAAATAACATTATATACTGCAATAAGATGGCCGCCACTTTTTTTAGTAATAAGTATATCCACCGTGTCATTAGTTACCTAGATATATTTTTTACAAATTTTGTAAAAAAGTATTAAGAAAAAAATATGACTTGATTATGACGTTATTTTACTAATTTAAATTCGGTAAATCCAAATTTTCGAGACAGAAAAACAATGTCAACAAATTTATTTATAGTAACCCACTAATACGTATGGCCTCTAAAGTGCGATAGTAAATTATTCCGGAACACACTGTATATTAATTGGCTAACGATAAATTAATTAAAATGCATTCAATGGTAACGCGTTTGGAAACACAATTCAAACAAGTATATTGTGTATAATAAGTAAGTAAAATAAACCAACAATATTGGTTTGAATAGAGAATTCGAGGGAGTAAAGTTTTTGGCTAATGACATTTGTTATATAGTTTATTTCTCGAGAACACTATAAACTATATATTATTACATAATTTGGGCTTCAAACAACGAGTTATATAATACATTTGAAATTCAGTACTTTGAACTGAAGGTTCGACAAAAGAAGGTCTTTGGTAAATAAAAGTAACTTTTTTTTATTAAACTTTTCCATATTTTTGGCATACACTAGAGTAGCATAAAGTTCATCGTGTCCCAATTTAACAACGACATGATTTATGCTCAAAAAGAAAACAAGGCCTCGAGTAAATTGTTCTTGCCTACAGAAATTAAATACAAATTTTGTGTTTAATTATGTTTTTTGTTAAAAGTTTAAGATCTATCTATTATTTACTAAACTATTCAAAATAATGCCATAATCGTGTGAGATATATCATATTATTAGGCCTTGGAAATCTCATGAAGGGTATGCAAATATTGGCCAATAAATTACAATTCAAAATTTTTTTCTGCATATTAAGTGGCAAGTGACTATTCTGTAAATTATATATTTTAATTTAATTAAACTTACTATTAATTTACACGTCGTGCAAGTAGCAAGCAAAACCAAACTGTACCGATTAGACAAATTGAAATCTTTAGAATATAAAATGTTTATGAATATTATTCATTATTTATTAAATAAATAATAGTTAAGCACGGTTTTATATGTATATGTTATTAACGTGGATCTAAAAGACTGACGTGGGAATAACGTTATCGTTGCTACATGGCTTTTCATAATTACACGAGTACCTGTTTGAAATTCAGCAACATAATGTACTTTCTTACACTTTTTTTCCTTTTTAAGATTTTTTAAGAATAGTGCGGACGAAAGCAGTTTGGTCGAAGTACTTGAAAAGAGCTTACTGAATGCCACTTGTACAGCGCGCATTGAATAAGACTTTACAAGAGACGTATATAATATGTACAGGTTTAGTCATGTTTCCAATAGTAACCAACCTTTTTTGTCTTTTAATTGACACGTTTTTCAATCGATGAAAGTCGTTATATATAATATATGAGTTAATCAACGTGGTAGGTACCTTGTGGCCTTTTTATTCAACACATAAATATGATTGACGAAGTACATGGTATATACACTGTTCACACTGTGTTCAAATTAATTATGTATAGAAATTTAATTTATACATAAATCCTAAGATATAATATTATACAGCTATTATATATATATATAATATATATAAATAATTATATTTATTACCGTTTTAAAATATCAGCACTGGCACGAATTAGTTGAACGGACATACACTTTTCATAAAAAAAAATATATACATATGACAAAGGAGTTGAAAACTTTTAAACTCGAATAAGAAAAGATATAATAAAAAGCATATTTAATAAGTGGGTGCATAGGTTTGAAGTGGGTTTTTTCGAGGCTGCACTGAAGAGGTATAAAAAGAGGAAAATGTACAGCGAATGAATTAAATTAAGAAAAATAAAATTCACAAAAGTAAGGCAAAAAAAAAATTGGATGGATGATCATTTATTAGAAGCTTGCGGCGGCCCAGCGTGGTGAAAATGTAGAACAATAGAAAACAAAAAAAAGATTATGTAATAAATATGTTTTCGGTTTTTGTTCGTTAAAGATGTTTGTATTTTTTATTACTCTAATCACAAGTACACTTTTATAGGCTATTCGGCGAGAGTGGACTACTCGCTAAAACGGGAAAATAATTTTAAATGTTTAAAATAAATTAAACGACTTTAAAAAAAACTTGAACATCAAACAGTAAAATTGAACAGTATTAATACGAATTTATGAATTTAGAATATTGTATAATATACAGTAATAATACATAGTAAGTAATATAGGCATGTTTAAGTTGTTTTTAATAAATTAATACACTACATAATTGGTTTCAAGCTGTTTACTAGTAAAACAAATATACAGTTATGTATTATAATAACAAAACAAGTCACATCGTAATAAAATTGGAACTTTACTAAGCAAGAAAAACATTTTTTACATATTATATTTTCAAGGGGTTATTATAGGCAACTTAAATAACTACTATTCATATGTTTTATAAGTAAATTTTTTTGACCTGTTATCGCAAACTTAATTTCTTTTTATCTATTGTATTATTATTTTTTTTTTAGTATTTAACCATTACTCTAAATAATTATTTTAATTATTACAGTATTGCTCGGTATACCATCTCAGATGTACAATAAAATTTGAAAATTATCTGACAATTTATTAAAACAAATAAAAAGGCAATACAACACAAAAACGTTTGTCTTTGAATTTTTTTTCAAATTTAAGATTAAGGTTTTTTTTTAATGTTTTAACTATTGTCTATTCGATATTATTATATTGTTTAACGCGTTTTAAATAGAACAAACAACATTCGACGTAATACTTTATAATACAATAATTACACCAATTAAAATAGAAAATTATATTTTGCCAATGTTATAAGAAGTCCGAAGCTTGAAATTGAGCACTAACCATTTGTTTAGGTGCATTAAAATTAACATTGTCTCGTTTAAAAACAATTTTTCAAGACTGCGATAAGTACATGCAAATTCAGCTTGTAGTCAATTCAACATAATTAATGCATTCATTATTTATCACAAAAAATACAACTAAACCTTACGACGGAAATAAAAAGAACACCGGTTGTTTGTATACCATTTTTTTTTAAAAATCAATTCGGTAACTCAAAATTCTAACGTTAACGCATAAAATTTGACTAACCAATTAAAAAAAATTTTGAATATATTTTAGAATTGTCTGATTTTGAATTTGTGTAGTTTTATAAATTTAGTGTAATTGTTTGTTTGAAAAATCCTGACAAAATATAGACTACTTAGGATGGTCCAATTTCAATTCTGTAAAGAGATACGAGTTTTCTGGTTTCTTTACTAAGTCATGTCCGATACTGTTTTTTGTATATGTAAAAAAGGGTTTTTAAATACTGAAAAATGTTTAAATTTGATTTATTTAATTACAAGCAAATTATTTTTTTGAAATGAAAATCGGTTTTTTACATGATCCAGTAAAGTTGTAAAAAAACTAGAATCTCTTTACAAATATTAAATTTGATTTTTCTAATTTTGTCAGGCTTTTTAGTTTACCATGAAATATTTGGTTTTTAATTTTCCAACCAATTTTTTTGTATATTCGGTCATATTTATTTTATTGGATGTGATCATCAAAGTGCATCTTCTGATATGTTTTTATTTAGGGGGGTATGGTGGGGGAGGATGAATTTAAGAAAATAGTACATATTTTTTTTGGAAAATTGCCTATAATTTACTTCTTAAAGAATAGGGATGTGGCACAAGTAGGTACCAAGTATATTATATAAAAAAATGTTACATATTTTAGCATTGTCCATTCAAATGTAATATTATGATGTAATGAATGAGTAATTTTTAAATTCTTTTTACTTCTTAGCACCAACTTTAGTTAAATATGAGTTTAAAAGATAATATAATTTGTTGGAAGTAGGTCATCCGCCTGGATGACCTATTTTTATTTGTAGGTTATAAGCCGGGCTAGTCGTTTTACTATTTATATTTTATATAAAAATGTTTTTAGGTATCTAGTAGTTTAATATCTCAGACGAAATTTGTTTCTTAAATGATGAGTGTGTAAACTAATGATTTCATTTATCTACCAAGTTTTAAGTACCGACAGGTGTGGGATTATAGAAATTTGAATTTTTACAAAAATCCAAAAAACTAGTCAATATAAGTCTTATTAATACTCACTTTAGATGTATATAAATAAAAAAATATTTGCCGAAAATTCATTAACAAATCAAAAGCGAATAAAAACAATATATACAATTTAAAAAGACAAATTTCAACATTACTCTCGTGTTCAGTCAAGTTCTTAAATAATTTGTTTTATACAATTCTAAGTATTAGTAGAAGTCTTCTACTCAAAAAAAATAATTGCATTTTTTTTCGAGATTTTATAACAGTATCATCTTTTTTTTTTGTAAATTTGAATGCTGTTGAAAGTGTTAACTTCACAGTATTATTATTGTACACCGTTGAAACTGATCAGAGACTCCAAAAAATATATTTTGATGCGAGTAAGTTTAATTTGCAACGTACAAAATGTGGAGAAAAACAAATCAAACATGTCAATTTAATATTATGTTATATTATAATCTGCCAATCTGTACTTTTTTTATCGAGATGACCCAAAACGATTTAGGCGATTCTGTGGTGTCGATTAAATGCAATAACTAATTACATTTGTTTTTTATCGACCATTAATATCTCTTTTTTTTTAATGTAATTTGAGATAACGCCAAAAATAATGGCTGTAAAAAATAATATAACATTAATAATATTGCCCACGAACGAGCGGCGTGTAAAACGTGTGCAGAAATTCAAAAACCTCCAAAAAAAAAATGTATAAATTATGAAAATACTTGTGTAAACGTTATATTTTAGCTTCGGTCGAGTAGGGTTAGAGTATAAGGAGATTTTTTTTTTTTATCTACTTGTATTGCCCTATATATGTATGCGAAATTCGGTCTACGGCGACTTGGAAATGTTCCTAAAAAAATAAGAGTAGGTACCTACTCGCTATGGGAATGGAAAAATGAATAAATAATATTATATAACAAACAGGACGATTAAATATTAATATGAAAGGATGTTTCTCGAGTGGTTTCGAGTGCGTCTGCATTTATACATGTATATTATGATAATTATCATTCAGCTTTTTTTAAAGTCTAGTGCAACAATGGTCACCTACTAACGGTTTGCAGTAGGTAATAAAAATAAAAATACATTTTTTTTTTTTTAAACAAGTACTCACTTAGACCTCCTGCGACGGCGATTGCGTTTCCGAGTTTTGATTTTGGATTTGTTGCTGGATCGAAAAAAATTTAACAACCGATTACAAAAACAAAAAAAAATTGTATGTAAGTATTGTTCGTAAAACAAAACAGATAAGTTGAACTATATTTAACTGTTTTGGAGATGTTGAAAATTGTTTAATTACTATTATCCATGGGTTACTGGTAACGAGGTATGTACCGGGCCCGGTTAGGGGGAGGTAAGACGCCGCGCGTTTTTATCTCTGTAGCGGCGGCGGCTATTGCCGGGAACGACGGCGGCGTTATGCTGTATTGTCGCGGCACCAAGCGTCCGCCGACGACCGTTTATGTGTTGTACGCGCGATGATGTAGTATTCTGTAGGGCGCTGACGGTATGCGCTGTTACGGCGGCGGCGGCGTTTATTGATCAGGTGGACCGCCGTCGCACAGCTTCCATATTATTATACACACAGACACTTTGGGTTAGCAGTACCGCGTATGGGGTAACGCGGAGGTCCAGAGGGTGGTTATGCAGCCCGATTGTGTGTTGCAAAAAAAAACGAAAAGTGGAGGGGGGTCGCGTTTGCGCGCGCGTTCGTCGCAGCCGCCGTGATACGCAACGGTCACGTGGACCGCACGTTAGCACGTTACCGGTTACGCGGTATCAACGACAATCAACCGCGGAGCACAAGAGGCGCTCCCCTACAGCGGTTAAGCATCTCCCAGACAAATTTCATAATGATAATTACTTTTTTATTTGTCGACAACAGCAACAACAATACAAACATATGTACATTTTACAATAACCTCAGATCAATGTGAAAAACTGACACCTCCCCAATAAGCATAGCTTGTGATAAGGGATGGTGAGTTAGATATCTATATTATAATGTTGATAATATTAAAATAATTATAGATTATAACAAAAAAAAAAAAAAACGAAAGTGTGTATGAACAAAGTATAAGGTTAATGTCTAATTTACCAAAGTTAATCAAATTAATAGAAGAGAGAAAAAACCTAGTTAATTACTCCGCTCCACGGAAAAACATTGAACCATCGACATGTTATCTCCTATCACTTATCTCTTATTATTTATATCTTATCGTTAACTCATATCATTTATATCTTATCATTTATCGTTTGTCTCTTATCACTCATCTCTTGTCTCTAATCTATAATCTGTTATCACTTATCTCTTGTCATATAAGAGAATTTTCTCCAACGAGATAAGAAATATTCTTATATCCACCCCAATAACATATTAATGTTAAAAAAAAAAAATAAAACATCAAACTTGTCCAATGGTAATGTATAGAACTAGTTGTTATATGTATGTTATTAATTTTTTTTGCCTAATGTCTTACGATGAATTAAATTGATATTACATTTTTTGCACAATGCATTTCCAACGAAAATTACACTTTTCTGACCAAACATATGTACAAAATTGGTTTATTTACTGTAATTACCATTGTTATTTTAATATCCGATTTAATTGAATTATGTATACGTTTGTGTTATAGAAAAAAATCAATGGTTTATCTATTAGTTATTAACACTTTATTCACATAAAAGAAATAGTCACTATTTATTAATCCCCTTTTAATTTATTTTTATTTTGTTTTAAATTTATTTTTTTAAATAAGTTAATTTTATCAGTTATTTTTTCAAACTAATTATTATTTATTTGTATGCCAATTAAATGGTATGTATTTAGTGTGTAATTGAAGGCAACCCTCGGAATGGACAAATTATGTAAGCTTTTTGTTTAACAAAAAATAATTATTATTACTATAATTATTCATGAAAATGATTGAACTATTTCAATGAAATTTCATAAAGTTTTTAAATCCTCCTAATATGTCACATGGTATGCAGATGCGTTTTTTAAAAATATTTATATTTTTTCAACAGATTTTATGAGTTTTGAAAATTAAAATTATGATTGTTCCAGTACAACACTTTATGTCGACCATGGCCAGAGCAAGTTAAACTACTTTGACTGTAGTGTGCCCGGGCATACCATTCAATTTACCAGGGTTCAATCTGATACTTAAGCCTTAGATCTTTAAACTTGAGGTATTTTGCTGTGTTAACCTTAAGATCAACAATTATTTTTTGTTATAAGACAATTATTAAAAATAAAATTATAGTTGAAAATAGAAAACGAAAATACTTATCGAAAAATTTGGAAGTAATTTCGAGAAATATTAGTATCAAAGAAAAAGTCTACATTGAATTCGTATTTGCAATGTTTACACGCTGACAGTGTTTTTTAAAGCATTTGTATTTGATTAAGTTTGCTCGTTATTTGGTATTGATAAAAGAACATCAACATTCCTTATGGATATAATGTGTTACTCACTACACGCTATCGTTTAAAGTAAATAATATAGTATCATTTTTTGACTGTTCTCTGCAAATAGTAAATCACACTACACAACATTATATCCAATAGTTGTTTACAGAATTCAATGTCATTACTATACACAATGAACACCGGAATTATTTTCTTGAACAACATATTTAATTCTAGAAATTAAAATACCTAGTCATATATTAAACGTGTATAATAGCTATGCCAAATTAATGCTAAGCATCCCCTGTAATGGGAATTTTACATTACCAACTAGTTACCAGATATAGTAATTTGAAGAAAATAGAAACTTCCCATTTTTAGGGATGCGCTGTCAACTTACCGTTGGTATTTCGATAGTGTTTTTGTTATTCGATTTCCAAATAATATTTATGTAAAAGTGTATTCACTGAACAAATGAATTTGGGAAACTAAAATAAACAAATTTTAAATATATTTGTTTGTAATCTTTTTTAGGGTATTTATTTGTATAGACATGTCATTTTTTTCTCTAATTTATAGTTTTTGTTTGAAGGATTTTTAATACTTTTGTAAATAGTAATAGATTCATGGTACAATTATTCAACCATTTTGTTAAAACAATAATAAATTTCATCTTTGAACGATATCATACATTTTTTACTTGATTTTTTTTTAATAATAAAATGTGTCGTTTTAACAAAGTATGCGGTATTAATAGTATTAATTTAATACCAGACATTAAATTTGCAAATGCTCTAAGGAAACAATAGGGTACATCGGTGCGTTGATGTGCACCACGTTTGTCGTACTGTTCGACCGATTGCAATTTATCAAATCTTCGAAGTCTCGAGATGGGAAAAAATATGTTTAAAAAGTGTAAACGGGACAAAAGATCAAATCAGAATCCTCAAACGCGTTGTACAAAAAACAATTTGGCAACCTATATGAATCCACGAGTTTGGCGGTATGTCTAAAGATGCAACATGGTGTAAAGATTCTACAGGCGGGATAACAAGAAGGCTGCTAATGGTCTCTCCGATGATGGGATGCACTTAAGGCATAGAATAATTACAATGGTCTCTCCTATTGATCCTCGAATCAATTGATGCGTGTAACCTGTTGCCGCAAAACGAGAATGCCACCGAAGATTGCAGGTTCAAACTTAGCAGAAGTATCGGAAAATGTAGACTTGTTATAGTAAAGCTGATGCGCACATTGCATTACATCCACTAACTATCTAAAAAAAATAATTAAAGTAGTTTAAGCTACACTAAAAGAGTATAACACGATAAATAGCACTTTTTTTCTGTTAAAAAAAATTATCAAGTTTAACCTAACCCAACCTAAGTATAATATTATAATTACAGTACAAAAAAGTTACAGTCTACTTAAAGCCTAACGGCTAAAATTATAAAACATGGAACATGCTTAAGCCTGCTGGCTCCTGAATAGTGATTATTTCTGATCTATAATATCCTTGCGATTTATGACGATAATATAGTCTTAGTTATATGTTATGCGTTTAAAGTAGAAATACTTGCTGATAAAGTAGGGAAAACTAAAATATTAAATGTTTTTTCATTATTATTTCAAAAGGGGCCAACAAACTTGTACTTGAAAAAATATAACCAAATGAAAATGAAAATCTCGTAAAGTGGTCAGTTTGCCTTTTTTTTTATTTAACAAGTTTTGAGAGTCTGAGTTTTTAAGGTCAAATTTTTTATTTCAACATCCAAAATGGCAACAAGTTTAGTTTCTTTATTACAATATTATTGTAGTAATTAGTGAGAAAAATGTTAAGGTATATAAACTGTAAAACTGTGTGTGCTCTTATGATATGTTATAACTTAAAAGCATATGATACCTACGGGTGTTTGTCATTTATTTACATTGCAATAGATATTGACATTGTAGAAAACAACTTGTTTTCGATAAAAATTCAATAATAAAACCATAGCGATTGTAGAAACGAACCTACTGTATTTAATTTTTGAAAATGGAACGTTAGTTGTTGTGATGTTAAAACACAAAGATTTTAATTTGCTAATAGTTTTTAGCTTTAACGCGCAGCTTGTTTTTACAATGATGTGTTAGTAATTGATTTTATTTTTTGGACCCTATAAACTCTATACTTGAACTCTATAGATCAGAAATTGTATCTGTATGTAAATATTTATATACTAGTAGAGTTATGTCGATTAAACAATTAATTATTTACTCATCTTGCACAGTGTAAAAAAAACTGTTTGAGAAAACCATATAAGATATCATGTTTGAACTAGATACTTTTTACTTATAAAATTGTACGTCTTAAAAATGAATGGTATTAATACAGGCACTACATTTGCATATGCTCTAAGCAAATAATGGGTGCGACCGAGTTGATTATGTGGAATAAGGTTATCTACTACGCAATACAAATGGAAAATATATAGACATTTTTTTTTTTTTCTTAAAGTCTACACTCGTCGTACCGTTTGATCAATTGCAATTTTTACCAAATCAAAAAGACTCGCGATAGAAAAAAACTGTGTTTATAAAGTTTTCTATGCCGTTTGTTTTGGTGTGCTTGCACAATGCGACAAATGTATGCACAAACGGGGCAGAAGATAAAAACCAGAATCCTCAAACGTGATCGACAAGCAACATTTTAACAATCGATATGGTCCGAAGAGTTCAGCGGTAAGATACAATATGGTGTGAAGATTCTACAGACGGGATGTATTAAGTAGGCTGCGGATGGCCTATCCGATGATGGCATGCGTTTACAGTGTAAAATTTCAACGGTCCATCCTGAATCAATTGATGCGTGTAACCAGTTGCCACAAAACGAGAATACCACCGAAGATTGCAGGTGCAAACTTAGAGGAAGTATCAACAAACGTATACTCGTCGTAGGGTTCAAAGAGCTGTTTGTTACCAAAGAGACGGGCGAAGTTTGGTCAAGTGCTTGTCGATGAAATCTGGGTAAGAATCTAATTTGATTACACGTAACAAGTAAATACCATTAGCAGCGT